CTAACCTAAAAGATAAAAAAAGAGACTATGATTTCTGAAGGGAAATGAAATATAAAAAATTTATATCGTAATTCTTAAATCTTACAGACGCAGACCATTTTAGCTCTTTTAATAACAACAAATAAAATTTGCACACACCTGTGCCAATTCCATTTTCGCTGGCAACCACTTCCGTTGCGATGTTGTCAGTGTCACCTGCCTAAACATATTACTAATAGTAAGTAGATGTATCTTCAATCTCGTTGAAATGTCATACAGAGTTTTAGACAAAGTTAAGTTTAATAAACAAAATTCTTCATATTCACATTTCGGAAGCAATTTTTATTATACATGCACTATGGGTATGCTATGCGTGTATTTGTGAAAACATTTTAAAACCGTTTTTCGCGATTACTATCAAAAATTAAAACTCAGTTCTGTTATCAGTGACGCAGAAATCACAGAAGCGTCGAGCAAAAAATGTAGCATAGATTTTGTCGTTATCATTTTTGCTGCTTTATCAAATAATACATAATGGATTGGTAAGTAACAAAGTTTTAGTATTCCATCAGCCCACCCACTTTGATGAAACGAATATATCTAACAAATATCAGTGATATGGAAGCTCTTGGGAAGCATAAACACACTTTACAGAAATAAAATCTGTTTGAAATGGGAATTCTACTTCATTAAATGTTAATCGTAATCAAACGTATTTATTTACTCTTTCACCATTTGAACTATTTAACATTTTCCATTCTTGATATCATATACGCCTTGGTTCCGCTTCTCTGCGGTTTAGACGAATCGCTTTTCATGATTCAATTTTTATGGCAATCACTACAGATTTCTATACAGTCTTTTGCATGGGAAAATAAGACGACCCGTTCCTTGAGCATTATATATAAAGCAATCTGTCGGGATGGCTGTGTTCAACATTTATATGTTCTCATGAAACATAATTTCAATGTGAAATCAATCGCAAAGTATGACAAAATGAATCGTTCAAGCTTGATGGAACAAAGTGATATGACTCTGTTAATGCCAATCAAACCAATTGTTTCAGAAGCTGTAAGATAGAAGCTGCTAATCTAAGGCAATTTCATGTTCATGATCTTATGGTTGGGAATTTTATTGATATTTGATAATCACTTGAATACCAAAACAATGGGAGAAAATGATGTGCTATGATTGTTCTGAGGCGGAATATAAATGATTTTAAATCAGAGACCATCTTTTTTCACCTTTGAATGTACAAATAAACAGAATCATGATTGATGGGCATAAACTCTGAATGTGTAGTACACCAAAATATTATCCGTCAGTGAAGTTAGTTTTGAATCGCATTACTCGTCAAATAATACAACAGCTAAAAAACAATGTCCTAAGAAACATTTTATTCCATGTAAAACATCCAAAAAGGTGTGTTAAACACAGTTTGCAATATTAAGATATATTTATGGTACAATGGAGTCTTCAGATGTCAACTAACAATCGTTCAGACGTGAACGCAATTCAGATTACCGTATAATATCAATCACCTAGAAGATATATAATCTGCGAGCTAAATATAGTTCGCAATGTCTGTGTGTTAATTATATGCATGCATTGTTCATTTTATATAACGTTGTTCTTTTGGTAATAATTAAGTTATTTGATACTGTGGCATAGGAAAAATGATCGCGGTCATTGGTTTTGAATGTTTTATAGGAATGAATTACACAAGAATGTTTATTTATCTTCCAATGTGATCAGTAAATGTGTTTGCTACTGCATGAGAAAAGATTGCAGATATTATTCTCCATTTCAGCCGTAATTAACAATTTATGAAACCGACCGTGCGTGTGTGTTCAAGTCAATTTAGTTTCAAGAACAGATGCTAAAGCCGTATTTTGGTATTAATATTCGCTACATGCAAATTTATCCTACGCTAAAAACAATGAAACATTTGAGTAATATCATTATAGCTCATAACTTTGAATCTTCAATATATTGAAATCGTATTTCCCTATATACTTTTGATGTTCAATGTTACCGAAGAAAAGAAAACAAAAATGAAGAATAAAACAATGAAGATTTTTCGAAAACGTCCTCATGCTCAACACTGTTAGGCATCATTACATCATGTACGAACGCTTGTACAAAAGTAATTAGACGTATTTAGTCTTTTGGTTCGGATTAATTTAGATGTTACAATTCGTTGCTGTTCATTGAATGTTTATGCGGTTTTTGGTTTTAACGAGTTTTTATCCAATATTAGAAAATGTATAAAAGTAAGCGTCAACATTCTTTCCAATGGGAAGAACTGGTTGGCTTTTTCTGTTCTTGCACAGTATATTTTATTCATACTCTCATATCATGTGTGGAAATGCGCCGTGGTATTTCTAAATTTATTATTGTTCATAATGATATGGATGATGCTAAATTACCAACCGAAAATTAACTTAGAACTGACAGGGTATTGCATTATTTTTGCAAGATGTTTAAATAACGGAATTCCCGTTAAAAGGATTTTTGGATTCCCATTTCGTAATAGAATGCAAATTTTCACTTAAAAAAACATAAATTTTCCCACTTTTATTTAATGAGACCAATAAAAACAAGATTTAAGCAAAACAAATTGAATATGAAACTTGTTGAATAGCTCTTACTTGCGTGTTTTGAGCCAAACCAACAATTCATATAAACTTTGTTTATATGATGAATCATCCCGATAAAAACGTTTTTATACGTTTACGTGGTCGCTTTTTTCTACCTATCTGACTGACAGTTCTACGATGTGACTAATCAATAGCATTGATATGCAAAATGTACTGCGCTAAATTCAACTTTCAACACTTTCAGCTGGTATTACATTGTATATTATTTATCAATGTCAACAATTTCTTCTAGGAAAAAATGTGTAACAATTATTTTTTTTGATGATGACACAACAATAAAGAAGTTAAAACGTAAAGTACTAATAGTAGTAATGTGGAAAATTGCGTCTAACGGAAATTATTTTCATTTTAAAGCATCATCTACTTGACTAATTTTAACAAGAATCAAATTTTGAATGGGTACTGAAGTTGTACGGCAGCTAAAAAAAACAAAGACAAAGACTTAGATCTGATCATTTGTTATTTGTACACAAGTATAAGCTACAGTAAAATTTCGATAATTCGAATTCCGACAGTTTGAATATTTTAGAAAATTGAATTTATGTAATGTTTTTTCGAGACTTGCAATAATGCAAATAGACGGACGAACAGTCAATAATGTGAACAATAATAATCGAATGCTGTTCGTAATTTTTCTTTATTGAAAATATATTTTTGCTTTAAGATTATTGCCACCATTATTTTGTCTTTGCACTTTTAAAAGCAGAGTAGTTTGAAACCAAGCGACTCGAATTATCGCAAGTCAACTGTATTAATGTAGCGTTACCATTCATTGCAATTATTTCTCACTCTGTTATGCCCACGTTTAGCGTGACGAGATGGAGTGGCTTCTCAATAAGTACTTCTTTGTTTAGCATTTAAATTCAAAGTAATCTACTATTTAAAAGCACAGATTACAGAATCCGGCAATCCATCCATAGAAGAATTAGAGCACATACGATACAGACATGGATGAAGATCTCAAAATAAAATTTACTTGCACAATATGAGAAAAGTTTATTTTGAAAGGATGGCTTAAAATACGCTGAGAATAGTAAACCATGTTATAATAACGTATTATTTCAAAATACGATTGGCGGTATTTAGGCAATCAAATACCACACTTGATTGAGATAAATAACGCAATTAATATGACATTTATATTCATGCACGGGTGAATATAATTTGTCTTAGTTTTGGCAAATGAATCCAATGATATTTATTTGCAATTTAGAGCAATTCTAAGATATTTTTTGTAATGGTTCATATTTGATGATGATGATGATGATGGTTCAATCATTCATTTGCACACAGCACATATTTCAATAATGTTTCTTGTCTGAAGAAGAAAGGAATCGGTTCGTTGGTGATGTCAAAAATCAAGGAAGTAAAGCATTCCGACAAGACAAAACAAGTACAAAAATAAATATAAAAAGACATAATTGTGCACTACCGCGTTAACTGGTTCACAATACATTTCCATAAACAGTAAATGGCAATGTACATGATTTAAGGCTGCTTCAAAAAAGACGAATCTTTCTTTAAAAAAAAGATGTTGTCCACGCCATTCACCAATGGAATAGCCACCTGATGAACTAGCCAACATCCACTAAAACGACTTGATGCTTTGATTATTTTGAAGCACCAGCATGAAAGTAATTGTCTTTATTACACGTAAATCAAGTAGAGGTAGTCCTTCAAAAAATTGCTACTTCCCACTCACTAATTGTGTAAATTTTATTTCAAGCCGAGAGACGATACGATACAGATTTATATTTTAATTGATTTTGAACAATTGTTAAAACTCAAGTGTATAGAAATGGAATACTATACTTTTTTAAAATAACAAAATAACTTATATTTATGAGAGTATGAGTTTTTAAAAAATTATGTGCAGACAAAATAAAACGAATTCATTCTGGGTTTAGCTCAAATGTAAATGCGAAATATGTATATTATTGCGTAACACTTAAATTTCAATCTCTGTCGCACCTTACAACCAGCAATTTCATATTGAGAGTAGCATCCACTTGAACACATCATAACACAATTTTTGACCTTAATTAAAAACATCTCTGGACATCACGGCTCTGGACATCACGTTCTCGTTTTGCAATATTAAATCTTTCATCTGAACATTTTTCCAGTTTCTGCACAAACGCTCAATTTTAAACGGCACAACTGTGTCTCATATAAACGTAAACGATTGTTCAAAGAGCGTTAAGTCGGCATGCTATGCAACACATAGTACTGTCAATATCGTCAATAAAATTTCGAAGCGTTGCGATATAAAAATGGTTTTACTCAATTTAGCACATGATTCACATGATACACATCAGTATTGGCAATTGGATCTACGTTATATCAAGTGCATTGACGTTGATTCTTCTGGTAAATGCTGATTGTGAAATGTGGTTGGACGCATATCTATCTGAGCCTTTCCATGGTTCAAGGTTTGCTAGTATGTACACGTGATTGTCATATATGATAACAATATGGGTGAATTTTCTATGCACTTCCATTTATGCTGTGCTCTTCAAAATTGTTCGCAATCGATTTCGATTTACAATTTTCCGCTTTATCGTTGGGTGTAAATGTTTGAAACACCAAACCAAGCCAATTCAACAACATGACAAAAACCAAACCATACAAACTGATGCATTTAATAGTCTAATGTTGTACAGTATACTGGTAGTTTTTTATGGCTGCTGTTTCATCTGGCCTGGCGCTCACATTGCTACGTTTCAGTTTTCATTTATTTTTTGAAGCTGTTGATGGCACGGACCTACTGTTATACTGTTCATTGTTGCCATTGTAATCTTCTTTGTGTATATGCTTGTAGTTACCTTTCACATAGAGAATGATGCTCTTGGCTTTTTGCGGGAGTGATGTTCGCGTGTACGATTCGAGTATATAAACACCAAAGATTGGTGCGATGAACTTAGTAAGCTGGAAACATCATAAAGAACTCAGTTAAACTCAATTTGTTTACTATATATCGACTGAACTATATCGAAGTTGAAATAAAAGTGTCGACGGTAAAGATTTTGGATATATTACCCGCTGGTTTTCTTTGAGTTATTTGATTCAACTTTTCTCGTTAGCGAAGTTTATATAGAATAAAATCGTTAAATAATAAAATTCAGTAATTGGTTCGGTTTGGAGTATTTTGATTCAAAAATGAAACAGTTTTTGGTGAGTATTTGGACTTTTGTATATGTATTTTTTCGTCAATCCTAATTTTAAAACTAGAAGTGTGCAGTTCTTGTTCAGGAAATATGGATTTATGCGAAAAATCAATGTTTCGGCATGAAAAAGATTTCAAATAAGTAAAATATTTATTGTAACTTGTAATCCCCAATTTATGCTGTGAATTTTGTATGCAACACACTTAAAGAGCATTATATATTTGTCAAATTTTTCGCTTTTTCACGATTCATGTTCATGCAAATGTATAAAAATACATTTCAATGCCAATACTTTTAAAGTTCGTTTTTTCAATAACAAATCAATATTCGATGAATGCAATACATCAATTCATAGGAAAAAGACAACTGAAATTTCAACGGTAATCGTACGTACCGCATCACATAAAAACATGAATTTCATTTCGACACGTAGATATCAAATCTAAATACCATGCTATTCGTTCAAAATTTGTGTATATACGTGATTGACTTTGCAAATTTTTTTCCTCTTGAAATTCTGCTGGCCTTTTTTTCTCTGACAATTTCGCCCCAATGTGCAATACATCAATTAATTTCAATACGCGTACTCATCAATCTTTAATTCTATTTGGGAGACGTAATAAATTAAATTTTTTAGATCAATGAAGGTCATACACATCGAAGTGGTAACAGCATCATCGGTAATGGCAACGACAATGCAAAATCTAACGAGCGCGTAATTGCTTGCAAACTTCTTCATAATGGGTACCTATATGAAACTGTTTAGACGTGCTTCGCCCATTTTTTCAAACGTATTCACAGCGGAGATGTACTTGTAACAAGTAGGAATACAATGTTCAGCTTACTCAGTTTTACCGTATGCTCTTTTGTGAATGCCTTTAGGCAGCTTCGCTGATATTTGTTCGATTCTGCATTACTGTTGTTTTAATGTCACTTTTATTTGTTATTGTTTGTGTTATATGTTCGCAGACATTGCTTCATCCCTGCATGATTTAGTTTAAATTCATCTTAAATGTTCATTATTGCAAAACGAGTGACGAACAAAAACAAAAACTTTTAACCGAAATATACATATTATCTGTATGTGATTGTGTATATGTAATAATATGTTGATGTTTTAAAAGATTGTTTGATTTCGAACATTTTTATTGAAAGGCCTATTTGATTTATATTTTATATTACTCAATCGGGAAAGAACGTTGTGTCATATTATAATATGCCAATACATATAACAAATTTAAAGAAAAAATATACCCTAAAGTTCCAAACAAATCGTTTTATCACTGTCGAAGTGATACAGTTTCTTGTTTCTTTTGAAATCCAAAACTGCAGAAATGCTACAGTCGACAAGTAATTTAATGAATTACGTAAAAGGACATACTTATATGGACATGACTTCGTTCTATTGTGATTGAAAAAGTTTGCGAAAGTAGAGTTTTAGACAATTTTAGTTGATACATCGTTATCAAAGCCTGTTCGATTGGAATGAAGATAGACATTTACCTTTTTTGTTCGAATTTTACTGGGAGTTCGATTTCACTTAATCAGATTTCAACTTTGCGAATTTCTCTTCGTCGCTAAATTTAGCTGCTGAGGATAATTTTTTTTTTCATTTTTATATTCAGTGTTTGCTTACATTTGTTGTTTACGTGACAGCTGATATTGGTCTAACCGGACAAAATCAATACTTGCCACCAAATAAAGGTTATAATTATGAACGGCCGAATGTTCCATTTGGATCGGCTCCAGCCCCACAAACAGTTGAGTGAATATTAGGCGTAAAATTGAATGCTTTGAAAATCATAACGTTGAATGAATGGGCACTTCATATGCGCTTGTAAAATCAAATTGTTTTTCTGTAGGTGATACCATCCAGACCATTACCACCACCGTCACCCAACCCTGGCTATCTTCCTCCAGCTGGACCAGCTGGGCCTGGTGACCATCATGTATGATATCTACACATCTGTATCTTGTAATTCTTAATTAGATTGTCAGAACATTATTCTCTATCTACCCTTTGAATAGCACCATCATGAACCGGGAATGCCATTTGAATTCAATTATGCTGTGAGTGATTATCCGTCAGCAAATCAACAATCGCATAAAGCGGCTAGTGATGGTGATGTAACACGCGGAGAATACCGCGTGAATCTACCTGACGGCAGAACACAAATTGTTCGGTATACGGCCGACTGGAAAAACGGATACAATGCAGAGGTAAATAGATAGAATAAATGAAGCGAACTCATAGTACAGTGATTTTCACGTTTGGTAAATAGGTATCGTACGAGGGTGAAGCCCATTATCCTCCACCGAATCCTCCTCAAGGCCTCTATGGGCCTCCAAGCAACAATGCTCAAAATCAAGGATATATTTATTAGAAATTACAGAAACAGGAAAACCCATCTCTCACATTAATAAATGAATAAAATGAATGTAATGCAAATGAAAACGCTGTGTTGTTTTAATTCGTTGCGTCATTGAATTCGTACGACGTCAATAGTTGAAATTCAAGCGTTTCATGAAAAACAACAATAATATGGATTCTGGTTCAACATTTGTTGATGTATTGATTTGATCCGATCACAGGATCCCTAATAAACATCTTTCGTGCTTTTCCATTTCAGAATTACTGGGTTCTAGTATATCCAAATGAAAATCTTTCGTAAGTTTATTGTGGAAAATGGCATAACCAATAGAATGCTAGGTAAGATACAGATACATTGGAATTCAAAAGCAATTTTGAATTGAATTCAAAGCAATGCAATGTTTGAATCTCTTATCAAAGTATTGTAATATCAACATTTTCAACGGTTAAATTTAAATTGAATGAAAAATACACCTAATTAAATAGTCAAAAGTTATTAATACAAGCCAAAGCTTCAAAACGGATTTTAAAACACCTGAAAGTATGCTATACTATTACTAACAACGGGAATTCGAATAAAGTATACAATTTCAGAATTCTTCATTGATTTTCCCAATGTACACACAAGGAAGAATGGTTGAGATCTTTGGTACAATGGATTTTTTTTCGAAAAAATAATCCAAAATTAAGATATCTAAAAAAATCCCAATCATTCTTCCTTGTGTGTATATACAAAATGACCTTACTATGACTGTTATTTGACATAATATCATATAATGGTTTTTGTTATTGGCTGATTATTGCACTGCGATAATATAGTTACTTTGGTAAATATGTTAGCAAACTAGCGATATATTCGAGATGAAAATACCAATCGCAATATTGACAAACGTCTACAGCTTCAAAATAAAATTGTATCCCTTGCTTCGTATGGATATAGGAAAGGGCATAATCACAGGGGAGGAACAGAATAAACTTGCATAATTTTCAGTATTCAATTTAATGTTAGTATATGTAGTACAAGTACATATTACGTACTATTAACAGATTCGTTCAGATCGGCGTTCTCCAAAATCGTTCAATCATAAAAAAATATATCTCGCACCAGCGCTGAACTAATCTCAAACATCATAATGAAGGTATGGAAAGGTAAGTTTTATACCTTCTCCATATATTGTAAATACTCCGGGGCACAGGTGTTAATTTTAACTGCTTGTCTTGCTACAAACACGCTTACTGCAATATTCAATTAAAAAGGGAAGAAGTAGCTGCTGAATATAAAATTTCCATATTGTAGGCACTACCAAACGAATTTTTTTTTGCATGAATTTTAATCCGAAATTGGCCTTTTCGTTGAAAATGACTTATAAGTCAAGGCACAAAGTCGACACATTATACCAGCATATAGTCATTTTGTTTATTTATTTTTGGTCTAAAATCGCGTTCCTAATTATATGATGAACTCTGTTTCACTTTTGTTGGGCTAAAGATTATAAATTCAAAGCCGCAACTGAACGAAATAAATCTTCTTCCTTTATAATGCAAATAGAAGTCTGAATAATTTCATATCGCACCTGATAGCGTATTAAGTAAAGCAGATGGTTACCGACACGCACTTAAAAAAGAAAATATAAAATGTATTTAGTTTCCCATAAGCAATGTATTGGTTGCTTTGAGCAAAAATTCAGAAATCTGTTTAATTTTTCTACCTGTATCAGCGTGCAGGTAATGGGACCATAGAAATATCGTCAACAACAAGCCTGTGAAGTGCCTTCTTGTGAGTTAAAAAGAATATGTTTGAATAATAGAAGAGAGAATGAAAATCAAATTTTTCTCACGTTCAGGTATATTGGATTTTTTTCAGTCATCATCTATACTTTGTCACTTTTTCAATTCACATTGTTGGTTCGTTATTTCCTGAGCCACACGAAAAGACCAAAACCAAAAACAACAGATATTCTTCATAAACAAAAGAATTACTCTAAGGGAATACAAATTTTCTTTCTAGAACATTATGAACAAGCAAGTGGGTGCAATATTATTATTATTATTAATATTTATACTTTTTAATGAAAAAAAGATTCATATTCCATTTCTTCATTCTAAAAAATTCTCGCTGAATTCGCTTATTTGAAGCACATACGATCTAAACATAGCAGGCTTTTCGTAATTCATGGAGCATAAAACCCGTTATACAATAGGAGGTGAATACAACTGACTAAATCCCCTGATATTATACATTACATTATTGAATGTAAACAGACAACGTCACACACGCAATACACAGACTGTGATTTATGCACAACAAAAAAGCGTAAATAAAGCACTTAAAATTTTGATATGTTTGAACCAAACCAACAACACATATTTCTCTCCAGACACTCACAGGCAGAAATCTCTCTTTTGCTTCAAATACATTTTGATGGCTTGCATGTCTGACAACAGACTATGTCGTATGCTAAATATTTCATCCGTTTACGCACATTAGCTTTCTCTGAAACTGTGTGAACAGATCTGTAAAGTGTAAATAAAATTTCGCAAGTTTGATGTTTATTGTTTGAGTATAGCATCGTGTAAAAAAATCATCATCATCATAACTATAAATATTGTGCTTATTTCATTTGCGATAGACGCTGAAATAACATATACATATTCTATGTAACATATTAAATAAACAACATTTCTGTGTTCTTACACTGTGGAGACATTGTCTGCGTTCCTTCAACCCATGGACAAAAGGAATGTTAATGAGCAAAAGAATAATTACTGAATCAAACTCGTAAAGAAGCATCAATGAATTTCGAATGCCGGTGCCTACAGTTGGTATACAAATATTGTCCAATTTCGAAGACCATCCAATGAAGTGGAAAGAGAGAGAGAGGGAGAGAACATATCGGAATTTTTTAATTTGATGCTCCATTAATGCGCTGCATTCCATTTGACTGTGTCTGTCTTCCATAGTTACAGTCACAGAGCGCCTTAAATTTACTACGGATGGTCAAGAATATTCATTATGGGAGAATCCAAAAACATCGGTATGTATTATGATAGAAAAAAAAAACTATTGGTAGTAGTACTTTACTTTGAATTATAAGAACTGAAACTTGGTATTGTCTAATACAATACAAATTACAGGTTATTTGAAATATTTTGAAGATCTTTTCTATGTGTCGGTATTTTTTCTGTTATCATTTTTGTATAGCAGAGATATGTTTGTCGGCAGACTTGGAGAATCATTGAACTTGAGAAACCTTATATAATATTGTTTTCTTTTCTTTAGGAGGTCAAAGATTGTGTGATTGTATTCATAAACGGATGGGGACGGAAAAAAGGTCCATTGCGTGGTTTATTTTTGGGTGATGTATCTCCGAGAAGAAAAAAACTTTGCTAATTTTTTTTTCTGAATTTGTCCAAACTTTTTTTTATATAATGGCTGAGATTCGAAGATGACAACAAGTAATTAATGTGATCCATTATTTTTTATGTCCATTTCCATTTCCAACAATTTTTGGAAATGTGTATTTTCAGATAAATGGCATGAGAATTTCGCGATAAAAAAACGATGAATAATAAACACAATATTAAACGACGATGTAAATGACTATTACAATTGTAAGTTTTACTTCAATTGCTTCATGAAAAGGAAAAATGTCTCTTTAAATTATTATTAGTTCTAGAACAAATGAATGTTTCCATATGAAAAACATTTTGGGTTTGATTAAAAATGATAACATCAGAATGACCGAATCGAATGTCTATTTGCGTTCCAAGTGTACATGGGTTTCGAATGTTTGGAGTTTAGAGTTTGGTAAACCGAAAAGTTGAAAAGATTTTCCTCAAAAGTTCGTCGTAGGCCTTCTAATGGCAAAAACCAAACCAAACGAAATAAATGAAAAGACAAGAGACAAAAACTTGGTCGCCTAACAACTGGAGCAAACGATTTCAGGGTGCAACATTTCTTAAGAGATTTGATGTAAAACTTGCCCACAGCAATTGAATCTCTTTAATATGGTACACGACAAATGTGAGGGTTTTTCTTTCAATTTCTGCGAAAATTTGTACGAAGTCGTTTTAACTTATATGATAAACAATCAGCTATATAGCATTGAAACCATGATATACTACAAAAAAACGTGAGCTCATCGAAGTAGAAGTTCCCATCAAATATTTACTACTTTGCCATGTTAAAAAGGCATTCGCATTCACATTCTAGTTATATGAGCTCTATCTTTTTGCAACAAAGGATAATGGATAAAAGATGTAGAGCATATTGCGACATTAGTGTTGCATAATCCGTTCGTTGTTATATCTATTCAATTCTATAGAACTGTATCATCGTTAAAAATTATTAAGAAGATCAACAATTTAATCTGTGCTAACAAAGCTTTGACGTAAAAGGAGATAATTAGAATATTTCATTTGAATAGCGAAATGAAAAATAAATTTTCTACTCAGCATTCGACATTTTAATTGCTTTCTACTTTTTGAAATAGAACAGTGTAATTATAATAAACCTAACCATTTATATACGTTTTGGTTTACAATAAATCAGTAACATATTAATACAGTGGCAATCAAGGAAATTTTATATGAAATATCGAAGAAAGAACAAATAAATCTTACGCAATTACAGGTGAAACTCTAAATGGTCGTTTTGACATTACACAGCTGCCAAAAATAATAATACACGGTGGGGATGCCAGACCGATTCTGCATGTGTATGACAGATGTGAGGAAGTACCAAAATGGCTTTGAGCACGAGTCAGCTTTGTATTTTCATTTCCTTCTTTTTTAAATTGTGAGTGTGTTTGAAACACGACGATTGTGAGTGTGTTTTCAATTGTAGTCTCAATAATTACGCACTTTTTTTATATACTACGAGTCTTTTTCAATTGATATATGAACCAACGTGACTTTCACTGGTCAAAATGAACGTTCCTTTTCGATAAAGTTGATTTTAAACTCTAGCCTCGAATCTATGTTTCAATGAATGAAATATCATTCGCTGCATTCAAGCCAAAGCGTCGGGCATTACTACAAAAGGAATCCGGAAATTAAATGAGATTAGAAATTTTGTGATTACAGATTTTCTGTTTCGAATTATTCTCAATTTTATTTTTCAATGCCAAATAATGTGAAATGAATTTCTTTGAAATATTTGGACCTTTCAAATTCTCTTTTTGTTCAGTACTTTTTTCTGTCTTCAGATCTCGCACATTTTTTTACGTTTCGCTTCTTTTCTCTTCTTCTGGCACGAAACAACAGACGAAAAATATCAACCGTTTTAAGTTCCACTCAGCAATTCACTTACATTTTCTTTGCATTTGTTCTTTGAATTTCAAACATCTTTTCTTCAAATATCAATTTCCTCTCCTCAATAGAGAACGCTGTCAAGAGTCTCCGTAATGAAAGATTCGTCTTTTTTTGTGTGTGTATATTTTGCTATCGACTTAGATATTATTTCTTTGTTCTACAGAGATTTATCTTTTCATTCTAAGAGTATCATAGTCATTCTGCCGTTTAAAATAAACGAGAGAACGTGCCATTTTTACAACCAGTACACTGCAAATGTGGTGTTTTTCGCGAATTGATCCATTATCGTCGAGAATACAATCTACATGGATGGTCAAATACTATATGTAGAAGTCACGTAATGTTACTTGCTTCAATTATGCATTTTGTTGGAATATCTATTTTGAATGCCTTTATTTGTTTATTAGAATCACGTAGAGGCGATGCTAGCTCTAACTCGCCACTGAGAATTCACAAGCAGCAGCAAAATCAGTCGGTGTTCTTCATCGAATAAACAGATAAATTGATATTCAGTGTCAATACTTTATCCATGAAAAGGGAAATGTCTTCAGAACATACATCAAAAATACAAGACATGGCTAGACGGAATGAATTTGTTATTTATAACGTTCCAAACGTTCCAAATGTACAGACCAGTCTATCTGATGAGGCAAATGGTGTGCAAAAACCGAAAATTATATTTCGCCTGCATTCTATGACGAAAATTGTGTAATGAGTATAATTCGTATTCCGTGAATAAAAAAAGGTGAAAAACGACAGATAGGTCCAAAGAGCACATACAATCGAGTTTTATTTATAGAATTTCCGGTTGATGTTGAACTAAAATACCTTGAATTGTACACAATTCCAATTGATTGGCTTCTCTCGGTTATGGTTATATGATTTTGAACAGGCGAGCAGAGCTGACTCGACACAAATAAAAAACAAACACATTCAGTATTGTCAACACCCATTATCGATTTAGTAACCCCTTAAGCGAAAAATTTGATAAAGAAAGATCGTATAAACAGAAGCCATATTCAAAAAAGTGATGTTGAATTGTGCATGAGAATGAATGTTGGTATGATGTCAGCTATTTAATGTTCCATACATCCTGTCGGTTTGGCATGTGCGTCTGCCTTTTCAACGAGTGAAGTAGCGGGAAACTCAGCCGGATATTGAACAATGGGTTTTATAATATATTTTGGTGTTCGAGATTTTTTTCACTTCTTTTCAAACGCAACGAATATACGAAAGAGAGACACCAATACCAAAAATAATATACAGAGATGCCATCGGAATAGATATCGTATATTAACATCCACGCATTGAAAAATGCATCAATACTAACAAGTGTATATTTTATCAGCTGAAATTGTGTTGGCGTCGTTAACGTCGAATGAATTTCAAACATATGTTTGAAATTCAAAACTACAGAATGTGTACCTTTTCAGTATTCTGTAGTTTGTTTTTATGTTCCGATTTTGTTTTTCGTTTGAAGCTATTTCTCGTTTCCTCTGATTTACAGATTTTTTTTATGCTGCACTATGGAACAGCAATTCAAAAACAGAGGAAGAGAATGGGATAGCTGCATGAAATCATTTTAATGTCTATGTATTGGTGTATTTTTTTCTTCAAAAATCAGTTTGAATGGTTTTTTTTTTTACGGTCCCCCACTACTTCGTGAAGTGCATTCACAGCATTTTTCACGTTTTACGTTTCACACATATTCAGATATGTGCTTTATGTCTTTTCCTATGTGTGTTCACGATCAGTATGTGTATTGTAGTGTGGTATGGTGTATACATGTTGGCGTGTTGTTTTCGAATCTCTTTTTTTATTCTGCTTTTCACTTCACACATAAGACTGTATTATTCCATTAATACGTTACATTGCGTGTTCATTGGAAATGTGTGTGACTCTTACTACAACTACGGAATACGGACCCATTGCTAGCTACTGAAATGCTGGTTAAATCATTTAGTATTGAAGTTTTGTGTATGAAGCATATACCAGCTTACTTATGTTGTTGATTTTAATGTTTAAAATCCAAAATTTTATCAAAGCATTGCGATCGTAGTAAAGCTAAATAGAATATCAAAACTCGCAACAAAAAAATTAGTACCATTCTGCTGAAATAAACACAAATTTATAATTTAATAAAATAGTGAACGAAATGATATGAGATATACATAAGCGATAAGGTCATCAGTGAGTGATTCATGTGGATTTGTGCGTCTTCTTTTATGGACTATTTCTGACAATAAACAGCACATGTTTCCATTCATGTACATATACACAATAAAAATGATTATGTGAATACAAGTCAAATAAGGAATTTTGTTACACGAACCACAAATAATATATAAATTTATCAGCGCCATTGTCATTTTTCTCTCAATAGAATAAAGAACCGAAAAAAGTGTAAGTGTCTACTTTGGTATTTTGTCGTCCATGGCATTAACATATTATGTCGTGCGATGCTAAGCAATTCCAATAGAATTGGAAAATTGTATGCGTCAGATATGCGTGTAAATTCCCACCGATAAAAAGTACACTCGTATCGTCCGTCCCATGGTCATTTGAATGTGAATTTTATGGTTGCGGTTATCGGTGTCGTCACTTGCTCCAGTATTAAACAGTGCAAATTGTGGTTTAATGTAATCAAATACATACATTCAACTTGAAGAATGCGTGCATATTTTTACAAAAAGAGAAAAAATACCTGCTTAACAAGTTATAGAAAACAGTTCACTTTAATATGCGTGTGAATAATATAATCTAGCCGCGTATACCTTCTTGAAATATTTTCCATTTTTCTGCATATATGTGTACGGTAAAGTGCATAAAGTGGAAATTATGTACAACCCGTATGACAAGAAAGCGGAAAAGATAATCGAATGTGTTTTGTGTAACCATTTTTTTGCTAGTACATTTGCATGGTAACCGGGTTTGTGTCTTGTGCGGAAATAATCCAACATGCATGGGAACTAGTTGTAAAGAATTATTCTTATGATGAATTTAAATCAGAACATGCGATAGATACGATTTCACCTACCACTTCCATTTACAAACAATTCAGATTCTTTTTCGTTTATAAAACAATTCGATATAAATGCAGGCCATTTGAAAAGTGAACACAAATGCATTGTAGTGTTAATTGAATTCCAATAATATATCAAACAAAACTTTTGCCATATTCAATAAGTTTTGCATGAATTGATGCTCTGAATTAATCAAGATATATTTCTCTTTTTAATAAAGATGTTGAAACACGTACAAATATCACCACATCGCAATCGATCCGATTCAATGTCGTTGCGTTCAGCAACGTCATGTGCGTCTTCATTGTGCGGTAGTCCCGAACCACCAATGGATTCACTCCGATCATCGTCTCGCGCATCCAGCTATTGCAGCCTTGACAATACCATACCACAGGTAATGATGATATGATATTATCTTTGAATCTGACACATATAAAATCATCAATAAGTTAAAACAAAAAAATTACATAACATTTGCATCGATATATTTTCGAATGAAAACAAAAACAAAAACTGTATATTCGTGTATCTCTTCAGACGGAAACAGTTATTGACCACAACATAGTCAACCTAAATAAATAATAAACGCATACACATTGCCAAATCAGCAGAAATGTTTATTTAATTTTGCAAATTTGCATGTTTCATATTTTATGACCACACTTGCCAATCAAGTGGATGTTGGCATAATACGTTATATTGTATTTATTTGAACCGGCAATCACGAGGTTCTGTACGCAATCTTCAAAATGTATGTCTCGCGCCTGAACGAAAAAGTATTTTCGTTTTATTCATGCAATTTATATTACAGTAGCTTGCATTATAAAATATACAATGACAACCAATTGGTATGGATAGATTGCTGAAATAACAGGAATGAAGTAAAATTGTCTATAGTAGGCCCTCATGAATACTAATGATGTGACTTCAACTTTTGTTTCTTTCTCCTCACAAGAACTAACACTTTCCCGCTGATTATAAACCGTTTCCGTTGCAGCGTGAATAAGAGATCTCTTCATATTCCTCTTTTACCTCTTCGTTTCAATATCACTTATTCTGATATAAGACAATAATAATGAAGGCCTGTTTATGCACTAACAAACGATACAGAGGCCTTATGTCGAACAGGATGAACTAATTGTCTTAATTGTATCTTAATGCATTCGTTATAATCTTTATCTCTAACCACGGTCTTGTTGACACAGTCAATCTAGCAGTTTGTTGAAAGGAAATCATAATCCAATCAGCTAAATAAAATGTTTCCGTTATTATTAATTAAATTTTTCAAAAATTGACATTCTTTCAACATTCAAAATATAATTCGTTATTATGTATGTGAACATGTTTTGGTGGCAAGTGAACGATTCAGATAGAACAGTTAACCAAACAAACATGAACTGCTTTCACATTGAAATAATCAATATCACAAGAGTAAAACGTACTTAAATGTCCAAATAAACACTCCGAAGAATTCGTGTTTCTAATGGAAAAGTCATTGTTCGGTTTATCCACTACACCTGCTGCCTATATATTTTCATTTGAAAAAAAATTCAATTGTAAACTAAGTTAAATCATATACGCTGAACATACAAAAAGGAATCTGCACCAATTTGGGATATAAAGGAAAACTGTGTTCATTGAGTACATAAAAAAAAGTTAACCAAAAATACATTACCAATCATTTGGGCTACACCATAGTTTCCTCTTCTTTCTTTTTAAGCTGCTGTTGTTTACCTCACATCCGTCCTTTTGATTTTTCCCATATTTTACAGATGGTACAGACAACTGAAGTAGCACATATGTTTAGATATTATGTTCAATCACTTACACACTAACGATGTATTTATGGAATAGGAAAAATCGCATCACTCGCATCGTGTCTTTTTTCTTCTTGAAGTGCATAGCCGATAGGCGGATGTTCAATGTGCACGATTTGCTGCGTCTTCTTCCCTTTTCACTTTTAATTTCTCACTTTTCCAGCGACATTTGAAGCTATTTTTATCGTTTGTATGCACAACGGATATTGTACCTTTGAGCATGAATACATAATACGAAAGAGAAAAGCACAAACACAAAGTATGTTCTTGTCTACAGTAATTCTTTGATCGCTCTATTTTAGTTTATAAATCGTTCTATTCAAGTGAAGAGTTAGACATTTTTGGAACCCACTATTCATTCTATGCAAATACCAAATTCAGATTGATGAAATACAAACACAATGAAGTAATTTAAAAGAGCTGACAGTGAAAAACAGAAGACGATAGATAGCACAAGAAGAACTAAATTGTTGTCCAAACATAGCCTAACAGGATGTTGCCGTTGTTAATTCATGTGGCAGTCATTACTTCCACTAGAGATGAAAATAGCGGAAAAAATGCTTCATCACGTTTTTTTATGGTTGGAATGTCGCATGGTCTATTGACGCAAAATGAGCAAAAAATGAGTGGTATTCCTTTTAATCTTCTATGTTCAGGCAGAGCAAAAGCAAACTGTGCATTAAATAGCATACAATATGCTCGCTTTTTTGGGGTTTGATTATTTGGGTACCGCTAAGATGACATCACTTGATACTTGACTTGTTCAACCCGTCGGCATGAAGAATTTCGAAACTCAATAAATGTGTGTTCAGCATTTTTGGCTACTGAAGTAGGGTCTTAAAAAAACTGATCGAGAAGAATAAACAAATAATAAAATAATGTTCTGTACCTCCAGAGAGATAGGGGGAGAAATGGATCCGACAATTTTTATTTAGATTGTATGTTTATTTAAGGCTTCTCGGCTCCTTCATTCCTTCGACTATTATTCTAATTAAATCACACATACCTCTTCGCTCATTAATTGCGAAGGACGCCATTTATTGTTTCATGGTTGTGATTTCGTGATTTTGCTCTCTAAATAAATAAATAAATTTGAAAAGCTATGGTAATGTATTTGTTCTTCAACCAACTGCAGTTGTCCGGAGAGAAATTATGAAGTATCTGAATCCTAGCCTTTTGGTCGTGTTTTCTTTCATTCTTTCTTCCTTTCGTTTCCGGTTTTTCTTAATATGGAAGAATTCATTTTGTTTGATATTTCTTTTTTTTTTCTCTTCATACAACATTTGGAAACATCTGCCGTTTCAACCATATGGTCAATAAAGCACAATGAAAAACGTTTAGTTGTGTGGTTTAAGTATTTATTACGCTTGCTATAAAATTCACAAAACTCAAATGATTGTTAAATCGTCCATGGTCCATGGTAAAGGATATATATCGATTACTGCAAACATTGCCTTTGAATAATATTTAACCTAAATTTGTTTTTTAGCAGAAAATATTTCGGGTTTGATTTAAAACAAAAACATTACCTACCATACTATCAAAACGATTGAACACTTGGAATTTGGTTACATTGAATAAAATATTTTGAGAACATCATATATTGAGTTAAACTGTCTTTTTCAATACTGTTTTAATTGGGATTTTAATCAATTACACCTCCTTCAATTCTCTCTCCCAGAAGACTGAAATGACGCGAATTAAAAAAAAAATGACGATAAAAATGACACGAACACTGAAAAAACACCAATTATTGGAAGCGGTTTTTGTTCGTTTGCTTTAAACCAGCAAAAACATTCACATTCAATTATTAGAGCATTCATTCGTATAACCATTTCTATTCAATTGGTTGCGAATAACTTCCATTTCGTACATATGAACAAATGAAGAAAAAAATGCTGTTTTTGACGCCGTTTCGAAACGAAGTTTCAGTTTTTTCTCCACTCTTCAGGATTGTATGAGGGAATCAACCATTTTCCAATTTAAAACTTACTCAATTTTTCTCAATTAAAAATTTATTAAAACGTATATAACGTAATATTGGAGCTTTCTGTAATTGAACATTTGAAATTTAAAAAAAATTATGCTGTATGCAAAAAAATTGAGGTGAACGACCAGCAAGGAAACAATTCAACATAATTACTACGGTGCAATCCAATTTGAATACAATGAAATGATTGGTGCGGCAGTTACGAGTTGAGTGACAATTTAATTGAAGGAAGGAAATGAATTTCATTAATGATGCGGTGCCTTTCATTTTCGAATTTCGGATTCATGAAGATCCTAAAAAAATGTATGATGAACAAACCATTCTACGGACAGAATGTAACTAACTTCAAACCTGCTATTGTGAAGGAATTTTGAGAGAAAATGGCACATAAAAACAAAGCATAATCTATAGAATTTCGGAACAAAGCTAAAAACCGCAAATTGTCCGCAACAAGATTTGTCATCTTCCACTTCTTATGGCAAATGCTACATATAAAACCATTTGAAACGTGTGTAAGTAACATCAATGTTCAAATTTAAATTGTATGCGATCTTATGTGTGCTCCGCACTGCAGATGTTGTGAATCTCATTTAGATTGTACATGTGTATAAATATGTATTATTTCGTACTCGGATTTAAACCATAGAAACCATCTCATTACAATGCTAGCTGATTGAATTAATTGAACTAATATTGCGACTTGCGCTTATGCAGTGTGTTTTGTTACGCATAATTGCGAAAATTCATTATTACTAGTAGTTGTGAGCGCGCTACAAAAAGGGAAATGAAGGCTTGGGTGATAGTTTGATTGAATAAATGAATGCATTACATTATGCAGTATGAGAGCAAAGAGCATACACGCGCACACTACAGACACATCTTAGCTGTTGTAAATGTTATCAAGAGGAAAGTGTATTATTGCTAACAACGTTGAGCGTGTGAACATACATTGTAATGCGACACTTCCGGTGAAAGAACACTTAAACCTTTGTCTCCAATGGAAAATATGTATGTAATCCAAACTTGTTCACTTTTCAGCTCTTTTTTTCATCTTCTAAAGTGCGTCCTTATACATATTATATCATCTTTGCTTGGAGACATACAAAGATATGTACAACACAATATATATATAAAGTACATACATTGAGAACAAGTTGAATTTTAATACAACTGTTATGCTTATGGATCGAGGAAACGTAATCGGTAAATTAAGTTCAGAAGATGTTTAGAAGTAACCTAGAAAAAGAGAAAACAATGGATGATTAAATGTTCAAAGTGCTCACTTGAAACTATTTTGATGCCTTAGGTCAAGAAATCTAGAGTAGTCTTTTGTAGTATTCATTCAGATTTTTGTAGAAAGTCTTAAAAGTGAAAAAAAGAAGAAATCAAGTAAAAGTGTCGACAAACAAAGTCTTATAAAGAGTGGATTTTTTCTCTTCACTAGAGAACTGTTGCAGTTTTTTGTCAACCACAATGAATTCAATTTATCATTTATGAGTTGTGCAAGAGCAGTTTGATATTGGTATAAAATCTAAATGTGAATGTAGCAAAATTACCATTAACAAAAATGATGAAACCATTGCTATTCTTCATGCTCTTCCACGAAATGCATACCTTGATATAAAATAAGAAGAAAAAAACTTTCAAAATTCCCACGCAATCAAACATGCATATTGAGTAACTACTAACTATGCTTGATTGTGAAAATCGCATGTAGATAAATTTATTTATTTTGCTGAAATCGCGATTCTTTTTTGTGCCTCTGGATTTTGGTTTTATTCTTTGAAATTGAATTCGTTGAATGGTGGGTAGGTGTAATGAAGATAAAGATAGTGGTAGGTGTTTCATCGCCCACTACACCATGTGTATTTCATTACAAAACTATCATCATGTGCTTATGTGAAATTGATTTCAAACGGCATAAAAAATTATGACAAAAACTGATTGAAGTTTGAAAACGACATCGGGTGGCAGCTAAGACCAAAAACAACATAAATGAGAACTGTGGCGACGCGAGCACCCCCAATTTCAATAGGCAAATCAATGTAATTTCGTAATTTTTTTCTGAATTAGCGCGCCAATTTGAATTTTGTTGATGCTGCCACCCTATGGAAAACGAGTGATGTACGAATTTAAATTTCATATTTCATAAAAAATGTTATCATACATTTTTGGTCACAGTTTTAATTAAAATTTTGTTTTGAAAGAGCAAGTGTATTCACAAAACTCAGAAAATATGGATGAATTTTAATTTATGCTTGAATGCGCTTAGTAAATACTGTGCGAATATCATGTAAGCGCTAGCGCATACAGACATAGTACAATGTGATAAAAATTCATTATATCTGGTAAAATATATATATACATATATATAGTACATCGCATCGTATGAAATGTTTCATATACTTGTGCGAATCTAGCTTGAGTCAATCCATCTTCCTATTTCCAACTTTAGATGATTATAAACCTTTTCACTTTCTCGATATTATGTCGACGAAAACGGTTGAACGATGGAATGCCGAAAATAGACAAAACAAACCGAAACTTTTTCATACCTAACATTATTTCTGCTTTCACATAGAATAATGAGAAAAAATTGTAACGTATGCGTTTCTTTCTCTGATTGTGTGTCACGTACAAAAAAATGTTGGTAGGCATTGAAATATGAGGCAATTATTTTTGTTTTGTTTTATATATAACTTTTTTTTAAATAAATAAATTGACCAATTGTTCAATTATTTATTTTGGAAGTCTAGCATTTTACGTTCTAGAACAATTGTAGTCAAATGATAATAATTTACGACAAGACGATATCTTATGACGAGAACAGTAAAAGGTTATGCTTTGATATAATAACACGTTTCGATAAATGATTACAGTGTCCATTAAATTTATTGTATACGAATAACGGAAAAGACATTACTGTTGCGAAAAATACGACCTCTCGCAAAGCGTATCAGAAAATAGCATTTACCAATTAACACCGACGTTTCCGAAGATTTATGCTTGATTTTATCGTTGATACATAATACATTGGAGAACATTCGAGCGATAAACTTGTCTCAATTGTATATATAATATATTTCATGGATTGTTTTTATCATCATTAGTGATAATGATTTTTTAACAAGCATTTTTATTTTCAGACCACAATCAAAGTATTCACTAGCTGCCTAAAACTAGATATAGAGTATAAAACTTTGGGGATTCGGTGGGATACAACTAGCAAAGACGTCGTTGCACAAATTTTGCGAAGGTAATACTTTTACTCAATTCTAAATGAATTTCCGTAATAACGTTTATTAACTTAGTAACATAGTAACAAATCTCCATTCGTTATAGGACCAAAATGCTTCAAAGGGACTCGCGATTGTTTTACCTGTCCATGGAGGTGACTGTACGAAAGGCTGGTGTCAAGCGGTTTCTTGCATTGGATGATGATGCAAGACCGGCTATTCTACAGGCTTGTCATCCCAAAGGAGACTCGAGGTATACAAATATACATCCAATGATACCAACAAGTGTAGAGGGTGGTAGTAACGAAAATTAACGAATTAACGAATTAACGAATCTTATCTTTTGATATGAAAAAGGTTTTGTCTTCAAATCAAACCTGGTGGATTAATTCGAGTACATACGTCAGTATTGCAGCCAACATCTCTATATAAGAGTTTATTTATATCAGAAGAGACGACCACAGACGAACTGCTCACATTGTTATTATCGAGCTACAGTTTGGATGAACCCGTTGAGCAATTTTTATTATATGAGGTAATGTGGTTAATATAGTTAACGTTGTTGCCTTTCAACTGATTTTCACCTATCTCTTTGAATGATTCAATAAGTGAGCATTTGATTAAATAAGATTTTCTGATTCTCCTCCAAGGTTTGCCCTTCACAAGAGTACCAACGAAAATTACATCCTGACGATTTGCCATTGCGAACTCAACAACAGCGTACACAGCGTGGCGAACAATTTCATTTCATTGTACGAAAAAATCCACATTATCCACGACGGCGACAGTTATTGCCACCGAATGTCGAAAATAAATCAACAAAGGCTGATGACGAAAATTCAAATAACCGTCGATACACTACTAACACAGCGGTGTGCCACAAAAATTGCGTGCGAGAGTTAAGCTATGCACGATTAACTCGTGTCCCAACAACTGATAGCCTAAATGAATGTCATTCACATGACGATGATACCATGCAAAGCACAACGTCAAATATTATTAATAAATACAAACCTGTCTATAATATTCGCGAAATTAGTGCGGTGTGCAATTCATTTTCATCACTCGGATTGGGATGGAATGTGGATCGAAATCATAGAACATCGTCGAACTTAGCTTCGCATGCCGTACCAAACAGACTTTCGATGGACAGTGTTACAAATTCAAATCTAAATATTGTGCGTGAAGCAGTAATTAATAATCCTGCCAAAGGTTACGGCAGTTACGTTTATATTTAGATATAATTACCAAAGACAAAATGTAAGCCCCTTCGGAGAGAATATTGTTATGAACTAAATCGTAATATAACAAACACACTTTTCTGATTATTATTGAAATTGTCAAGAAGTGCATAGCAATGGATGGTATATGCTGGGCTTTTAGGGATGGTGAAAATATTATATATATTAGTGAGACGTAAAAGAACGCAAGTTTGTCCAACTTCTCAGCAATAAAGAGAAGTATTTTTCATTGCAACTAGTAATGGTTGAAAGAACGATGTTCGTTTTTGGCGGGTCGTCGCGGTTTTGAACGGTTTCCGCGGAACTGATAAGAAATAACAACTTGGTGTCTTCAGCAAAATTGTAGTACCCGAGATCTTCTATAACACTGCAGTTATCTCTTATCTCTTATCAGTTCTGCGAAAAATGCGAAAAAATGATTAAAAAAAAAGAAGTTCTATATAAATTTTGCTTTTTTATTGCGCGATTTGCGCGCAACTGATAAAACATAAGAGATAGCTGTCTTCATATAGAAGACCTCAAGTACTACAAATTTGCTGAAGATATCATGTTGTTATCGTTTATCAGTTCCGCGAAAACCGTGAAAAACCGCGGAGGCTAGACGATATGCAAACATACTTTCTTTCAACGCAGATAGAATCAGCAGAAAACATACTTTCCTTTTCAAAAATATAAATCGAGAAAAAAACATACATTCTTTTACGTCTCACGAATAGATATATGGTAGTTCTACACGCTAAAAAATATCTGTAAGAATCTACACGATGATACCAATCAAACATGGATTTATATGACAAATCGTGTAAAAACGATAAAATATCGTGTAATTTCAAATAAATCAATGAATTGGTCAATACTATTACCCGATATACGCATCTGTCAAATGTTTGCGTCAACTTTGAAACATTAAAAATTACACGATATTTTAATGTTTTACACGATTCGTCATATAAATCCCATTTTGATTGTTATTATCGTGCAAATTCTTACAAATATTTTTTAGTGTGTAGTACTACTTGAAGCTTCGAGAACTAGAAACATTCTCGATATAATAAAATTAATATTATCTTATTGATGTGTTTTTTCTCCTGTGTCCGCTGCGCTTCGGAAAATGTTTTGTAATCATGATAGCAATGGAGCAATGGAGGAAAAGAAGAAAATAAACAACAGAAATGTATGCCAAAGATGATGATTTAATAAAGAACATTAAAAGAAAAATATAAAACACTAAGACTTGTATTTTATTTTTTGTCATTTTTTTTCTCTAAAATACTCGATCAGTGTGAGCGAACAAAATGTTTGTTGTTTACATGTTTTCTTTCTTCTTCATCGGAATCGTATCCCGTTCCTATGTATTGCCTCCGGTTTTGATCATCACCAAAAGATCTATCATCTTGTTCACAGGTTATTTCGTCGTCGTCGTCGTCTTCATCGTCTTCTTCATCGTCGTCATCTTCTTCTCCATCTTCATAGATTTCATTGGTGCTTTTTTTTACTTCAAAAACTTTATGTATCGCTTCACGGAAGCAAAGAAAATTGAAATCGATAACACCTTGTCTTGTGAAACTGTATTCTCTTAGAATACAAACTAATGCAAGAAACTTGTTCACTTCACGCAAATAAAGGACCGTACTGTTATTCAACTTGATGAGACTCGAACTTTGATCATCAAAAGCAGTGCCGGAATCCGATCTGTAAGAAAAAATGTTTTTTTTTTATTGCTTTAAAGTAGTGACATAACATTAACACAACCTACCCATATATTGAGGACAAATCGATAACTACATCTATCATGTCACAGCATAGCTCATAACTTTGCATATCAACGGGCGAACTGTCTGTAGCTATGTAAATTTTGGATACAACGTCAAATAAGAAGGCCTTCTCTATACCCGAATTCTGGATTGAGATGAAACATTATTATTATTATATATCCATAATGTGATACCTATTTTCAATCGGAGCATACTTACTGTTATGAAAATCTAGATTGAGATGAAACATTATTATTATTAAATATCCATTATGTTATATATATTTTCAATCGTAGCGTACTTACATTTAATAAATTTTCCAATTTCGGTAATTCTTTAATTAGTTTTTGCACGACCTTGGAAAATGCTTCAAAAATCGAGTGATCGTATATTGAAGTCAAATGAAAACTTAAGTGAATGCGATCATATCCAGCATCTGCCAAATCGTCTGTTGCCCTTTGATGAATATCTCGCTGAGTTTCCATTTTAAGGTCATCGCTTATACCTACGGGGAGAATCAGAAAGAAGAAATGAAATTAATAGCAATATAACGAACTGATAGTGGGCAATTAATGGAAACTAGTAACAATCGCTTATACCATCCACTTTGTGTATGAAAACTTCGAATTTAATTTGTTTGTTGACGGCATGTGCCTTAAGCACTGTTTTATTTAGTTTTGTCAGTGCTTCGATATAATCATCACGGGCGTCAATCACAAATACCAAAGCTCCACAACCTTTGAATATCATTTCGCTGTCAAAGGCAGGGTCAAAGAAATCTATTTGCCCAGGAAAATCCCACACCTACATAAATGATTAGAAACGGTGATATATTTATATATCATTTAGTAAATGCAGTTAATGTATACCTGGAATTGTACGAAGCTACTGTTGTTTATATCATCCTTGACAATTTTGTTGGTTGACTCGAGAAACAAAGTTTCATTTGGTGACATTTTATGAAAGACCACTTTTTGTATCGAACTTTTACCCGAGCGTCTTAGACCCATCAACAAAATTCGTGGCTTCTGCTCATCACTGGATGAAGCTGGGTTACATTCGCTTCCATCGAATGGAATATAGCCAAAGTCTTTGGGAAACGATTCAACAACATCATTTGAATATGCTCCCTGTTCTTCTCCACTATCTTGGTAGCTACTCTGTATATGATGAAAACATTGTACTTCTATTTGTCGTCGAACAAAGATTACAACACTGTTGAAACTCACCATTTGTAATTAGTTTTCGTTTGGACTGAATGTGATTCCAATTAGATTTCGATAGTAATTTTATATATTTTTTTCTTCGATGGTTTATAAAATTATCTAAAACTCACATACACTCCTCATATCATCAAATATATATTACGTACTATAGTTGACTGTAATTGACATTGACATTTCGAATTTCGTTGTGTGAACGAGGCTTAAGTTACGAATGGTACGAAAACAAATAGTGGGCTTTTTTTGCTCATTTAAAAAAGGTGAACAACCGTTTTTCATCATTTTGAAATAAATGAACCCGATATGTTTCAAACAATCATTTTATTTTTGTTTTGTTTTTTGTTTTTTGTTTTCATCGATTACAGTACAATATACTTAATTAAATAATTAATTAAATTGGGTCTAACTTCACTTTCGGAAAATTTTCAATAATAACTTAATCAAATGATTATCGTTTTAACGAATTTATGTGTGTGTTATTTTTTTCAAATACAACGAAACAAAAACTTTTTTGGGGACTGACTATATTGCAATTTAATAATATCTTTAGTTAGTTATACGTGCTACGTTATGTTCAGAGCATGATTAAATTTTTCGAAGCTCAAAATAAAATTGTATTTATATATTTATATTTATATTTATATAGTGTATGCAATACATCATATTATGTATTCATTAAATGAGAATGGAAATTTAACATAAGTCTTATTGTTCTAACAGTTGAACTCGTTAATAAATGTATGTAGATAGTGATAGGTCAACAATTGCTGTTGTTATTTCATAATGCGTGAAATATACTTTGTAGGTTTGTATATGATGATTGAGACTATCATAGATAAGATTATTGGAATGTGAAATGTGTTTCTCGTCATGGTCGTATGCTGCAATATTCTGTTCTGCTGTTGTTATTCGTTTCTATTACATTAAACGTTGCCTGATACAATTAAAATGTAAAAAAAGATCACAAAGCCATATCAATTACTGTTAGTATTTATACATATACATAAAAAGTAGTGTGAATTTCTATTTACCGGATGTTACAAATGGACCAACGTAATTGCTTGGAAACAGTCCCGTCAAACCTTGACACTCTCCACGCCACCATTCTGGTTCATCTCTTCCCAACACACTAATGATATCGTCCTTATCAAATGATAGTTCATCATCATTTTGAGCTTTGTATGGATACAGTGCTATCACTTTGTCTAGAAAAACGTAATGATTTCATTGAATGAAATGTCAAATGACCAAATGAAAAGAAATTGTATGATTGATTACCTAGGATGGTTTCATTCATTTGAATTTTTCCACCTGACACAGGCGTACTGCGACCACTCAATCGCCCACTTTGTAGTACTTTCACATAAGTAGCCGGGAACCAACCAATTTGTTTACGTCTGCCACGAACTTGTAATTCGCCCTCCCACCACCCAGTCTCAGATTTCTGACGAATCATTATGAATTGACCTCGTTGCAACGACAATTGCTCAGTACTTGTCGCTTCGTATGGTGCTATAACCTGCGCAACTTCGCCCTTTTTCGACCCACGAATTCCCTAAATTCAAAGAAAAGTTGATACGGATGTTAAATACCGTCACGAAACACATTGGTCTACATTTTGACGAAATCATATGAACTTACAGATGTTGTGGATGAAGTTGACATTGGCCGACTGAAGTTATCTTGTACGGTTTCGCTTTTTGGTTGAGTATTAATTTCGGAGACTTCAGTATCAGCTTCTTCTTGGTTACGTACATCATCGGAATAGTTTTGAGTGCCGGTTTCCGGTTGGGTAAAGTAAGATGAATTTTCCGTATTGGCTTGTGCACTTGCACTTGCACTGGAGACGTCCTGCACATAATTTGATGGAAACATTCCAGTTCTATTGTTAATCGTTCCGGTCCACCAGTCTCCATCTTTCTTAATGACTGTGATATATTCACCCGCACCAAATGTTAGATCACCTGGTTCGGCGGATTCATATGGATAACAAGATATGTATGTGTCGTCACCATATTCAGGCTGTGCACTTGAATTGAAAGCGATTTCTGGTTGTATTTCGTTTTCTCGTTGCTGTGTGTAATTGGAGCTGTTTTGATCAACTGTTTCCGTTCCGCTTTCAATTTTCTCCACAAATGATTCAGGAAACCATCCAGTATGTCCATTAATTTCGCCCGCTAACCAACCAGGCTCAGCATTCTGTTCGAATGGCACCATTACAATGTCGCCGGGTTGAAATGTTATTTCATCGGTGTTTCGAGCGTTAAACTCATAAATTGCACGATATGGTTCGTAGCCAGGTTTTGTAGTGATTTCGTTCGTTATGGCTGTTGTTGTTGTTGCTGTTCCTGTTGGATCTGTTGGAGCAACTGCGCTTGTCGCCCAAGAATCTTGCCGTACTGCTGGTGCTGAATCCCACGCTGAGGTGAGTGATTCGTTTTTCTTGTTGTTTTTGAGTTCAAGAACTTGGTTCCGTTGAGTTATGTAAAGTGTATAAATCTCTTCACAATTGTCTAGCAATGTCTTCAGTTGACCCTTTACTTCGTTCAGTTGCTCGGTATTTGCATTGACGTCAGCTTCCTTTGGTTCAACTTCTTCTTTAAGATTTTGCAGTTTTCCACGCAATTGGTTTATATTCAACTGTTTGTTTGCAAATATTTCTTGACTTAAACCATCCGCCTTTGCATATTTACTATCCAGTTTGGCCTTATCCTGGCTCAATTGCACCAATTTAGCATTTTGCTCTTTAATTCGTGCCTTCAATGAAGCCATATCAGACATTTGGGTGTCACGTGTAGAACGCATACCGTCGATTACTGTTTTCACACTCGTAACGGATACACGAGTATCGCAAATTTTCTGCGACAATTCTTTCACTTTTTCATTCAACGACCCTAATTCAATTGTATACGTTTGATTTTGTGCTTTTAATTTCAGCAACTTTTCTTGTTCCTGTTGTCGCAATTGCTGCATTTTCTGTAACTGCTGATTCTCCCACTCAATCTGTCGCTGTTTTTCCATTTCTTTACGGGCAGCCTTGAAATTAGAACAAAAAATTGTCACACTCATTGAATTCTTCCGTTTTATTAGAAATTTCACATGATATTACCTCTTTTTGTTCAAGTTCACGTTTACGTTTTTCTTCTCTTTCTTGTTCGAGCTCACGCTGAATCTGCAGTTGACGTTCTAGCTCTTCTCGTTCTTTACGCTCAGCTTCTAAACGTGCTTTTTCCTTCTTTTCAGCTTCTTCGCGCTCTTTTCGTTCACGCTCTTCAATTTCCTTGCGCTGAGCATCTGATATTCAAAGAAATGATTCATATATCCGAATAACGACAAAAAGAACATCCAAACTGAGTCCACTGCGAACAAAGTCTCTTTTACGCTAACAGCAATTCGTACCCGAACGAGTCAGTGCGACAGTTGGCGTGAGCGAGACAAAGTTTGACAGCAAACAATTTGGTTATATCGGTTTAAATGTTCTTTATACGTTTTACGTTTTCAACGGAAAAATTTTTACCTTGCAAAATCTTTCGACGTCGCTCCAATTCAGCTTGGCCTTTGTCAAAGTTTTCTTTTCGTTTATCCTCGAATGTTGTTTGATTGTAGTTGTGCAAACTGGAGTCTCCATCTGCAATTGCTGTACTTCCACTCTGCGATGAGATGGATCCGTGTCGAGAGTTTGGGCCCGAAGTTGTCACGGATCCATGGCGTGAAACACATTTTCTAAACGATGGTGGCACCAATTCCGGGGGTAGCTTCGCTGGAATTTGCTCACCCTGGCCAGCAATCTCACACAAGTACATAGCGAGAACAAATTCATCGCAACCCAAGCGGCCATCCGAATCAACATCAGCGAGTGCCCATATTTGTGCAAGCGTTGCTTTCGGTAATTTGGATTGAAGGAGTAAATTACTTGCCTGTGCGCCCGTCAAATATCCCGATCGTGTGCGATCAGTTGTGTTGAAGAGTTGAGTATATTTCAATTTTGCCGGCCCTTTCACTGCCCATTCAATCGGCGTAGATGACGAACCTGGTGATTCGATAGATGGTGCTTTCTCTGAAATAGACATCGAACGACTTTGAGTTCCACTTGGTGGTGTAGGTGGTGCTGGTAAAGGATTTGTTGCTGCTGGAGCGCTGTCAATTGCCGATGCCATCGGTGCTGGCGGGACATTTACAAGTGAATCAATGAGCAATGCACTATTTGTTGTTTGAAGGGCTTGGTTGATAAGCGGCGGTTGAATTGGAACAATTGGTGGTTGAGCATTTGGAATGATTGCAACCGGTTGGATGCCCATGATTGGCGGTTGTGCTATGCTTTGTGATGTCCTTGTGTGAAATTAAAGGGAAAAAAAATATTTGTTGTTTTTATATGAATTAGGTGCATGATATATATCAGGTCTATATTTACAAATCGATTCCAATGCCCATGCCAATATTTGGCGTAATGAGTGGTACTGATTGAGTTTGTTGAGCTAGGATTTGCTGTGGCTGTTGTTGTAATTGCGGAGGCAACACTGGTCTTGGTGGATGAACACCTAAAATAAATAAATCGTATCGAATTAATTTAGATTGTAAATAACTTACAAAAAGTAAATGTTTTTTTTAAATTCACCTGGTGGAATATTTGTTACTGGACTCAAACTGCCAGCACCGGTTGGCGTCAATGTTGGAGTTGATCCGAATGCTTTCAGTGATGCAATCATGGTTGGTGGAAGTTGCTTTGGTATTTCGAAATTTCGTAGCTTCAAGTTGACCAATTTACATGCAATGCTGAACTCATTGATGTCCATTTTCCCATCACGATCAGTGTCAGCTAGAGACCTTTGAGTACATACAACATTTATTTATTATTTAAAAGTCCAATTGACCATTTTTAAATTAATTTTCCGCTTACCATATTTCACCTAAAACGGCTGGTGGCAATTGAGATTGAAGAAAAAATCCACGAGCCTGTTGGCCGGTTACAGTCTCGTTTAGTGGTTTCAATGATTTGAATTGTTCCACATATTTTACACGTTCACGCGATGTTATAACAAATGGATCAACAGCGGCACTCATGATATTTTATCAATATTCAACGATTCAAATATATTATGACAATTTAAATGTTGTTATGATGCGATGAAAATGATGGGCCAACTGAAAATTGAAGGGATAACAGTAAGATCTTAGTTTGATAAAAATTCAACATGTCTCTACTATATACAAGAGCATGAATTTACAGTTCTGCACAAAAATAATCAATAATTCCGCATACTAGTGAATAGTGTTGCTTACGTCAGAACAAAAATGATATTTGAATGAAGTCGTATTGAGTGGCGAACAAATAAAGCCGCTTGCCAAAATAAATAAACTCTCAAAAATCAATTGGATGAAAATAGTTTTTTGTTTAAATTTATGAATGTAAACCAACACAAATCATAGATTCGTGAGATCTGGAAAAGTCGATAAATCATTTAAATTAGAACACATATAGCAGTTGAAAGAAGGAAAAAAAAACGCCTTAAATACAATAACTCAACGATATCGGATGAAACTTGATAACAATGTCTTTGACTAAGATCAATGCAACGATTATTACACAATTGTTTTGCCTTACTTACAATTCACACAAAATGTTTAAAAACTCAATTGGCTATTGTTTCCTGTACTTTGGAGAAAATGGATTTTTCAATAGTGAAAAATTCTTATTTTCCAGTACGTGCGCGGCAGACCCAAAAACAAATTCTAATAGCAAAGACTTTGACACATACTCATACATTTACAACTCTAACTTTGCCTTCGAAAAAATTATGACATGACTTTATCAAGAAAGATATACCACATCTGCAATGTCGACATTATAACACATTTGATATCGAAATAAAAGCCTTTTTGGCGTGAGTTAAAGAAAAATCAGTATATATTTAATATTCAAAACGGATAAGATAATCTATTTTAAGTTGTGAACGTATACTATGTTATTTTTGTGGAAAATATTTCCTTGAAATATTTTATTATTGTCGAATTTAAATATTTCCCGAATAGACCTTTCGAACATGAGCTGTCAGTGAATGTTTTTGCTTGTGGAACGAAATTGAATGATTGTTGAAAACAATATCTTATCTTAGTTAGAGCACATCATTGTACGTATTGTTATAGAATAAAGCGAATTTCTTAAAAGAAAGTGAACATCATGGACCTAATCCAACCAAATGAAATTATACTTCTAATATGGGATGCGTCATTTGATTTGGAAAAATCTGGCTTCGATGCAGATTCATTGAAAGTCAAGTTCGATGCTGCCATAAAGTTCGAGAATATTCTCCGGCTCAACTTAGGTATTTTATTGACGGTTCTTCCATTAATTTGTACAATTAAACCCCATTTAATTTGGAATACTTTTCATTTCAGCGGCCTACAGTGATTCAACATTTACATTAATAATATTGAAAACTAATGGTGACAACTTGGACATACCATTATTCGCCTCCATATTAAAATTGTTGAAACCAAGCGGTCGCCTTGCGGTATCATCTCAAAATTCTGACCAAGTACGCGAGACCCTAAAATTAGCTGGTTTTGTGAATATCTCAGCGAATGGAAAAGGCAAGCTCATTATGTGTAGACATACTCGCGTATTTACATTCAATTTTTCCCCAAATTTTCGTACAGACATTGTTGGTGAAAAACCAAAATATGAAATAGGCTCGGCCGCTAAATTATCGTTTGCTAAAAAAGAACCAACCAATAATAAGGTAGCAACCGTTTGGAAATTGACCGACGAAGATGATGACGTCATCAATGAAAATGATTTACTCGATGAAAATGACAAAATCAAACCAGATCCTTCCAACTTAAGAGGTATACAACATGATGATGAATGCCCGATTTCATTTTGGTAAAATTACACAACATTTGTTCTTAGTGTGTGGAACAACTGGCAAACGAAAGGCATGCAAAGATTGCTCATGTGGCTTGGCAGATGAGCTGGCTGCCGAAAGCAAACAAAACATGCAATCAACGGAAACAGCCAAATCGTCTTGTGGAAGCGTAAGCAGTTGTACATTTTCAGCAAATTTTCAACATGATTCACATGGTTTTTTCTGTTTTTGTTTATGGCATGCCCAGTGCTATTTAGGTGACGCATTCCGCTGTGCAACATGCCCGTATTTGGGTATGCCAGCTTTTAAGCCAGGTGAAAAGGTGCAGCTGTCTGGTGGCCTATCAAAGGATGACTTATAAAATGGATAAATGTATTTTCCCAATTTTGTTGGTCAAATGAATAAACAAGTCATGAAATGAGTTTCATTTAGTTCTGTTGTTCTGTTTTATTCTTACAAATTGTACCCTTAAAACATAATTAGTATTTACATGATTTCTTTTTGCTATTGTAATTCTAATTTTTTTCAAGCGTCAATTCGCTAACTTTCTCGTTCAATTGCGTTTCGTCATCGCATTCCGACTTGAACGTTTCGGCATCGTATATGACCCGCACGATCAGCGAACAGCTTGGACAGGTTGCTACTTCTTCGCCAGCTAATAAGTCCTCCTTTGAAATCTCGAAACGATCACCGCAAGGACATGGATAGTGATAAATATCATTTTCTTCGTCGTATTCAAAGTCTTCAATTTCAATTTCGTCGTGATACACACTCATCGTTCTTAAAAAATATTTTTTTCTTCGATTCAAAACTATTTACATTGTATCAAAAAGCACGTTTGACATCGTTTGACACATGGCATGACTTTGCAGACAACTTCAGACCAATCACTTTTGTATATTTAAATATGGCAGTTTTCTAACAGAAACAAAAGTCAGATGCGCAACGCTACAACACATATCGTACCGAAAACCAACGCCACTTTGAAAATTTACAGAAAAACAATATTTAAAGAGTTGAGTATCAGTACCATAGAATAAAATAAATTGAAATGAGCAAACACAATTTTATAACGCTAAATGTATTCATTTATTTTGTTCAATAGCACACAATGGGCAGCAATTCAAGTAAAACCTTTACCCAATCAGCGCAACAAACACCAGTGTCAAAGGTTAAAAATTGCAGCAAGGGAAAAAATAATTTGGAAAATATTTTACTGGATCCGCGATCTCCAGATGTAAACAGAACTCCGTTGGCAAGTATTCTGGTGAGTCGTATGAAAACGGCTGAAGAAACACCTTCCACACCAACAAAATATGTGCGCGAAACACTATTGAACGATTCAAAGGAGAAAAAATTTTTGGACCCACGATCACCGAGCCAATTTATCCCACGCACACCATTAAATCTGTCGTTGAATGGCGAAAATATTGAAAATAGCAGTGGACAATACTCATTGGAATATAGCGGTTGCATCGAAGAAGCCAGCTGTCGCAATTTTAACGAACGTTTAGCAAACATCACTTTTGATGATGATGATTTGTATGCCGAAGGCAATGCCCCAAAAACGGTTGAGAGGAAAACCAACGAATTTATTGACGATATATCCACTTTGTGTACAGTAGATGAAGAGAATGACCATGACCATGACCAGCCTTCATCAGATTCATTAGAACTTACAGAGAAAGGCATCCAAAACACACCGGTTACCACGTTAGAAGCGCCAAAGGACCGGTTTGATACAAATGTTGTGTATGCAGACGGTGAAAATGTATCACCACTCGTTGATCCAAATATGTGCATTAAACGTAATGCGCTATCAGCATTTAGCAGTACTCCGATTTCAACAGCGATTAGTCAGCAAAAGTTAGCCATCAAGAAAAACAACAAGCCGAATACAGAGATATTCAAGGATGATCAAAAGATCAACAATATCGAGTATGCAACACCGGCAAAACGCATGGCTAAAATAAAGGAAGTTGACAATCCACGCACCCCATTTGGTTCCATTCAAAATCATCGATCAAAATCCACTGAAAACCTATCACAACAGCCGCAGACTCAACTCAAAGAAAGTGTTCGTCCATACCATATCAATGACGAGAATTTCACACCGAATTCAAAGCTACAAGCTTCATCGAAGCAAGGAAACAAGTCACGACGAATAAACCAAATCGCTTATGATTAACTAGTTCGCTTCAACTTTATTGTACTTTTAATTGTACTGTTTTTTTTGCATTGAATTTGTCATTTTTCCATTTTACTCCCATTATTTTTGGTTTTCATGTATTAAAAACGAATTCTTTTTCCCATTTTTTTTTTGGTTCTTTCTAGATTTATTCAGGTACAATTAAAAAATCGGTTGATTAGCAAAATAAGATTTATCCTCTTTTAAGTAAACATGCACGATAATTTAATGAAATAAAGCAAACTGTAAATGTACTTGTGGTAGTTTTTTCTTCTTTATGTTACAATACATTGTTTGATCAATAGAACACGCAAACTGCAACGATGAAAAACTGCGAAAAACTCAAACAATATTTGTTTGACTCTTTATTCGTTTGCTGCACATTTACCATTTTGGCATTATATACAATTGAAATTCGGGCCAATTATATTACACTAGATGGTAACTTCTCGAATACACTCGGTCTCAGCATATCTCTTCGCCGTGGTATAGTCCCAGTGGTAGTGCTTGTAGTTGGTAGAGGGTCAGAGCAACCCAGATTAACCAACATCTCAACCAGTTCTTTAGTTGTATCGTGTGAACTAAATCCATTTTGTCCCAAATTTTCCGCATCATTTGTTGATTGTGAAGCCAAAGACAATGCGGCTTTTGCGTATGATAAACACGTACGACCTTCATGGTCAGTCTTCGTGACATCCGCATTGTTCCAAACAAGTAATTGTACAACTGGAAGGTTGCCCATTGCGGACGCAAGGTGGGCCGCAGTTCGCAAATCACGTTCACTTACAGTTGCATTAACCTCAGCTACACTAGTGTGCAATAATGTGGTGATGATTGATCGTATGTCAGATCTGATGATGATGAAAGAAAAACAATTCATCATAAAATTGTGATTGTGCACACAGAAACATAAAAGTAATATAATCTCTTTTACCTGACAACCGCTTCGATTAAAAGTCTTCCGCTCGGAACAGAATGATCAATATGCGGTACAAACTCTTTCATTTCATACTTCCTTCGAATCCATGATTCCCTCTCTTCTCTAGTAGATTGCGAATTCGGCTTGACGAGTCCACTGGTATTTGCCTCGTACACTGAATTCGATATTGTGTTACCAATAGAAAGCATAACACTCAAATGAGGTAGTTCGATTGTATCCAGACCGAGCGAACGCACTTTGCTAATGTGTGAACCCAAATTCCGATGAATACCAGAGCATTCGATGCATATGAGAATACCCAAACTAAAATCACAAGAGAAGAACCGAAACATGAATGCGATTTCATTGTATAGGACATTATCCCTAAAATATTCCTATTTACTTCAAACTCGCCCACTCTGGCGTAGCCGCGTCGCAATCGGCACAGAATTTGTTGCCAGGAATTTGCTCTTTTATCATTTGTATCGTGGCCAAATCATTGGATGTTTGCGGTTTTGATTTACTCGAAATATTCGATTGTAATATCTTGAAAATTTCTTGTTCAATCACTTGAACCCATTCGTCTCGATCCTCACAACTGGCTGCTTCAAAATGCCATTGTTTTCCTTCCAGCGATACGATGAAGAACTCATATGTTTCAGCATCTGTCAGAAGAAGCAGAAGTGCATATTTAACAAAAAACAACGTAAAAACATAACAATATCTTCCAGAAAAACGTACCATCTACTTCATTTTTCACACCGCTACTTTTCATACGCCGATGTCGTTTCTTTGTATTTGATGAATTAGATGACTGACTTTCATTGTGTTTGCTGTTGTTTGCATTTTCATTCGCTAAGAAGGTTTGGGAATTGCTGTTACTCAAAACAACTCCCTCATCACCACTGGTATGGCTGTTAGTTTTACCGCCGGTCGAATCGCGAAGTGAATCAAAAGTACTCAATGAGGTTTTTTCATTGGCTTTCCTATCTTTCGGCAAAGTTAATCCAGCAATTCCGTCAGAAATTGCATTATTTGTTGCTTTCCAATAAAAATTAACCGATGAACTGAGTGCACTATTTGTTAGAATAGACTTTGATCCTCGAGGTTTTTGGCCAGGGAGCTTAACTGTTACACAATTCAATGCAATGTCTTTGCCGTTGCAATCATCCATATAATCATGCAATGAAGAATGATATGTTAGTCGTCCATCATCACATAGAGTCACATATTTCTTCTTCCATTCCTTATTGAGAGAGTTACTGCTGCGCTTGTATAAATAGCCTTGTTTAATTGGGATCGCTCGTCCAACACCGAGCTCACTCAGTTTCACCTCAGATTTTTTCGACGACGGAATAAACAAGTTTGATCGTCGTCGCGATTTACGTGATGTGGTTGGAGTCGATGAGGGGGTCGGAAGTTCTTTGGCATCTTTTGTATTTGAAACTGATGGACTTAATTGAAGGGAACTCAATGCCGCTATTGGAGCGCTCATTCTGTCATTTGCATGTTGTGAGATTCCTTGGGTTTTCGTACTGTTCCAATTTTTGCCAGGAGATCCATGTGATGTGTAGAGTTGATGCTTAAACTCCCCACTACTTCGTAATGGCAATTGATGACTCGAAGCTGATAATGCGTGGTATCGATGTGGCAACGTAAAATTGCTCGATTGAAAGTTTGAGTCATTGCTTCCAGATAGTAAACCGAAATCTTTAGACGGACTCGATAGCACATTCAACGAGTTTTGATCGTGATTGTGATGTGATACATGCTGCACAAAATGCTGCGGCAATGAATTCATCGAATTGCTTATGCCCGCTCCCTGAGGTGTTGTAGGTCTCGAGCTTGTCGGTGTACGATGTTGTAATAAGGCGTGTGAACGATATTGTACGATTTTTTGACACGCTAAATCAAATCGAATAAAATGAAATAATTTAAATTAAATATTATTCGTCACTTTAACAGTCATTTTAGTGATGTATGTATGTGTATAAGTCATGCCAGTGTATATTTGTCACACCCGTATTAAAACCAAACTCACCATCCTGAAAGACGGTTTCAACATTCAATCCATAAGTAGCGCAGGTTTCATAATAAGAGCATCGTTTCAGATCATTTGCTAATTTTCGAGCTCGTGTTTCGTCGATCACACGCGGATTCTTCTCATTTATCGCATCTGAAATGGGTGGTTTTAGTATATCTTTTCATCAATTGCTCATGTGTGTATGTGACAACATGACTGATTGAAATTAGCTCACCTTGAGTACCGACTAGTAAGATCGGAATTTCTGAACTGTTTCGGAAATGCGACATTTTTGTATAGAAATTGTAGACTGCATTGAAACTGGCCTCATTTTCCAAACTAAATACAAAGATCACAGCGTCAACCCAAGCGGAAAACTATAATTGAAAAAAAAAAAATCACAAATTTGAGCATTCAGTAAATAAAGTACAATAATTGCCTAGTTGCGATATTTACCTGCATTTCGGGTAATCCCCCTTCATCCCGAATCAACAACAAATGGCTTTGGTTATCTATAAATATTTCCTTTTTGAAACGTCCTCCCTCTGGCGATTCTTCTTGCATATAAGATCCCGTTAAGTACCGATGCACTAATGCTGATTTACCCGAATTTATGGAGCCTACGATTCCTACCACATTGAATTTGAAAAATAAAACTGATCATTAGCATATCATTTGTCATTCCAATGTGTTGGTTTGATATTGAACTGGTCATGTACTTACCTAGCCTAAGCTCCGATACATATCGGGACAATGTCCACTCTTGACTATTGACAAACGAATCTAGTAACAGAAATAGCAATTGAAAGTATTTCAGAATGTGCCGCATACAATTTGAGTTGTAAAACAAACCAACCAACCTTCAATGCAAACTACATGATCTCGAATTTGTTGTGCAATTTGCTGATCGGGAACTAGTTCGATTAAATCGTAAATGGCATAAATTGAAGGATGAACACTTTCAAACCGTTGAATCTCCTGGCGAATGGCCAATGGGTTATTCAAGAATTGAAAATTGGAGCGTGTGCCACTCATCTCCACTAACTTGCGTAACTTTGACCTCTTTTTCTAAATGTTAAGTATTAGTAGTTTCCTTGGGCACTGCTTGTTTTACACAAATTTTCCACTAATTTAATTTACTCATTCAAGGATTGATAACATCAAAATGAAAGTGAAAACCACAGCCAAAGTGATTGGCGTCGCATTTTCCGCGAGCTGGCTCTTATTTTTTTGATTGAACTGTCTTCTTGCGTTGAATGACCTAACGCTTTTCTCTTAATACCGAAGATGTATGCCAATAGTTTTCTCCATTAAATTGATTGATGTGTGAAAGATTTTGTATTTTAATCATATTTCCTGCACGATAATTTATCTGAATATCATTCACATTACATATGCAAACTATTTTTACGTCATTCTGACACTAATAGCAACAGTAATATTAAATCAAAATAGTTCTAATGAAATGAATTGATTTAGAATTGGTTTAACATTCAAACATATGAAACTCATGAAATAAGTACAGGCAAATATGTTTTTTACAATTTATTTTGTAAAGGAAAATATTTATCCTATAAAATCATTCACAAAACTAAGCAAATACGAAAGCTATGTGTCTGTACTTCAAGTGCTACCAACTTGCAAATATAAATTGAAAACGTATTGTTTATGTAGTTTGACAATGATTGCATTATTATTATTACTATTAACAGAGACATCTACAGCATTCGGGCGTAACTTATGTGACAGCTGTTCTGACCCATAGCTGATGTTCTGTGAACTCTAAATAGTTCAATTTGAAATTTAAAAAACAAAAAGAAAAATGAGTGAAATGTTGTCATTTGAATATTATTCATATTCTTTAAAGAATTCTTATCAATTCTTTCCCATTCAAATGAATAGTTACGATTAATATTTTGAAGATATAGGTATCTACATTGTTAGAGTATTGTGTATAGTTGTGACAACAACGGTCACCTTTGTCCAAGCACTGATTATGGAATTTAGTTGTTTGTCAACTTTCAGTCGAATCAGTTCCTCTTATATGAATACGATGACTTTTTTCACTATTTTTTTCATGTAAATTTTTATTTAGTTCAACAGTTGTTTCTTTAAATTTATTCAGTTTGACGATTAGACTTGATCCGAGCTGATAACATGAATAAAAATTCAATAGCGATCATTTGTCTTATTGTGTGCGCTGTAAGTTGATTTGAGAAAAAAAAAATGTAAATCACTATAATTATCAACTAATTTTTTGTTCTATTTTTTGAAGTTCTATTCAGTTCAAGGAGTTGATCAGAACATCGAAGAGGAAGAAATTCGAGCAAGAGCATTTTTAGACGAACTGAACGATGAATTAAATGAACGAAGAAGCAAACAAACTACGGCTGAATGGAATTTTAACTCGAATATTAACTCGAAGAATGAAGAAATTAAAAATGCGATAGCTGCCGAAAATGCCGAATTTTTCAAAGTTTGTAATTTTTATTCTCTTATTTTGCTATCACCTCATATACATACATAAATACATTGGATTTCTATCAATAGGAAACAGCAAATCAAATATTGGCCTTCGATTTTAAAGCGTATAAAGATGAAGATCTGAAGAGGCAGTTCAAAGAGCTCTCTAAACTTGGATATGCAGCACTTCCACGTGACAAATTTAAATTACTCAATGATGCAATCAATGCAATGGAATCCAACTATGCAAAAGTTCATATTTGCTCATTTAAAAATAGAACGAAATGTGACCTTCAACTCGAGCCAGGTATGTTTGATCGCTAATCGAAATTTTTGTTGGTTAACTGGTTTCAAGTAATTGAATGTTATTGATTATGAAACATTTTCACATAGAACTCACTGAAATACTGCTAAAAAGCGAAGACCCAGAAGAGCTCAAATATTATTGGACACAATGGTATGATTTGGCTGGAACTCCGACACGTCAAGATTTTGAAACATATTTGAGATTGAATAAGGAGGCCGCAGTCTTGAACAATTTTACGTCAGGCGCGGAAATGTGGTTATCGGAATACGAAGACGATACAATTGAAGCGCAACTGGAGAATATATTTGAAGAAATACGCCCACTTTATCAGCAATTGCATGCGTATGTCCGACATTCATTGAAACAGAAGTATGGTGATCTCATCCATGAGGATGGACTGATTCCAATGCATTTACTGGGAAATATGTGGGCACAGTCGTGGGACAGCATATATAAGCACACCACTCCATATCCAAATAAAAAATCAACCGATGTGACAGAAGAGATGATCGCACAGAACTATACACCATTCAAAATGTTTAAATTAGGAGAACAATTCTATGAATCACTAAATATGAGTGCATTACCACAGTATGTTTTACTAAGCTGTACTCTTTTTCACGATTGAAACATAGAAGGAACATGATTGAACAATTTTTTTTACCATTCTCATAGATCATTCTGGGAACGAAGCCTCATCGAAAAACCAATCGATGGACGCGAATTGATATGTCATGCATCCGCTTGGGACTTTTACAACGAGAGCGATGTGCGCATAAGTCAATGTACTCGCATTACAATGGACGATTTATACACCGTTTTCCACGAAATGGGTCACATTTATTATTTTTTACAATACAAAGATCAACCAAATGTGTTCAGAGATGGTGCAAACCCAGGATTTCATGAAGCTATTGGCGATGTTTTTGCTCTCAGCCTGACGCCGAAGCACTTGGAAAAAATAGGATTGTTAAAGAGCTATGAACGTGATGACGAAGCCAAAATCAATGAGCTTTACGAAAAGGCCCTGCAGAAGATAGTTTTCCTTCCGTTTGCCTATTCTCTAGATCAATATCGTTGGTCGCTGTTCCGGGGAGAAGTTGAGCCTGATGATTACAATTGCAAATTCTGGCAGATGCGCGTCGCAGCATCTGGTATAAAGCCACCCGTCCAACGGTACAAAGAAGATTTTGATCCACCCGCCAAGTATCATATTACTGCCGATGTCGAGTACCTACGGTGGGTGTTAAGCTTTGATATCGAACGATCATATTATGATATTCTTATTCGTTTTCAGCTATGTGGTGTCATTTATTCTACAGTTCCAAATATATAAAGGCACATGTATTTTAGCCGGAGAATATGACCCGAATAGTTCTCATAGTGTACTTTCTGATTGTGACATATATCAAAGCGCAGAGGCTGGAAATGCACTCAAGTAAGTACTTAGTACTATCTAGCCATCTATTGAATATGTCTGATTTTGCTTTTTGTTTCTCATGCATTCTAGAAAAATGTTATCGCTGGGGCTTTCAAAACCGTGGCCAGAATCACTTGAAATTGTTACGGGCCAAAGGAAAATGGAAGCATCAGCTTTAATCGAGTATTTTAAGCCGCTTCAAGACTGGCTTGAAAAAAGAAATAAAGAAACTGGAGCTCACATCGGTTGGGACCTGGATTACGGTAATTTTTCACGTTCTCTCCTCCTTTAAAATTGAGTACTTCTGGATTAAACAAAACTATTTTTCCCTTATACACAGAATGTCTATCAAAAGCGGACATGGAACGGAATGAACAAAACTAGTGCTTGCCTGGAAAGGATTAAATATTTCAGAATAAAAATAGTACACATACAAACCTTTTTATCTGAGCAAATAAATCTGAACTAAAACCTACAATGTGTGTTAAAACACCTTCTTTTTCTTGTTGTTTTCATTCAAGTAAAGTATGACATACAATGAAAAAAAAACAATGACCTACACAAATACACAATCATGAGAAAAAGTCTTGACTTGTAACACATACGACGATATGGAAATTGCATTTTCTTACACTGTCACATTCGCCACTCAGTGAGGTAAAATATTAAAAAAACGCACGCAACGGAACCACCCGTGTCTAACATTACAGCAAACCTTGGAGTTCCAAGACTTGTGTCAAACGATTCATTCTAAGTTTAGCAGTGAGCATTCATGCACATTACATTCAGCACAAAATCAAATATATTTTGATATCATGAAACTAAAATAGTGATTTCAAATAAGTGCTAGCCAAGCCGTATTCTTTACAATTTTTTCATTCGTTCTATCGATAAAAATGGGCAAATTTTATTTGCATGTGCTTTTCATTGTGATACTGATCTTGAATATTGATTCCCAGTTCAAAATAAGTGCTTCGCCGCAATTAGATATACCGTTAAATCATACCAGAGGTTTAACGTCAGTTGAAAATCAAAGACGTATCCAAACAAATAGTCATACGGACAAGGAACTCAATGATTCAGTAGCTAAAGATAAAGAACAATCCAATGAAATTAGTATCGGAGATACTTTGCACTATGACCGGGATCGAAGTCAACGCTACGGTCCACCATATTCAGAGGAAAATGATCGCCATTACTACTATAACAATGAAAACCACGATGAGAATTACAAGTCTCGATACTTGAACCGAAATTTAAATGGAGAAAATGAAGGTGTAGATGATGATGATGATGATAAGTATTACACTCAACCCCGATCACCTTATTACATCAGCGAAAAACAACGAAATCACTTGGGATACCGAGACTATTATTCGACTGTACGTTGAAATGAATGGCTAAATGAAACCTGTAGAAAAAATAATAAATAAACGATATTTTTTTTTACACAATTTTAGTACAACGGAAACTATAATCGATACGGAAATAATAATCCATATGATGGAAATCTGTATGACGATAGAAATTCGTTTAACGGTGATAGAAATTTGTATAATGACGATAGAAAAACCCGCATTAATAATAATCCGAGATACGACAACGACGACGATAATTACAGCGACCGAAATAGGTACTCAAACAGGGATTATGAACAATATCGTCTTGACTTAGAACGGAAAAACAGAGTTGAAGATGCAAATTTAAGGCGTATTCTTGCTGACGTAGATAAACTATCGTCATCTGAGTGTTTTCTCAATGTTGGTGCACAATGGAGCTTCGAAACAAACGTCAATGAAGCCACACAACAAGAATCCGTAAGTTGTGACCTTCGAAAATGTATTTTTACAAAATTATATGTAATTATGTGAATTTGTTTTTATTTTTATTCACACTTTATTATCAAAACCGCAACGTTTGAAAATCAATCATTCCGTTTGCATATTCGTTATACAATAAAAGAAACACATAATCGAAGAAAATAATTTCAATGTAACATACATCTACGATGTCGCTGTACAACAATGTGATATGGAACTCGTACTGAACATGCTCACGTACGCGGGCTAGACCCAAAGACCCAATCTTCTATAATATACATGTTCTCCACTGAAACGCCTATTTTATACTTTCAGTTTCTATTGTGGGAAAATAATGTAAATTATTATCTTTCATGTGAATTCAAACAATGAATTTCCAACACATTGCAGCACACAGTGAACATTTGTTGAAATTGACGTAGAATATAGAAAAACATCTTTTTGATGTGCACCAAAATACATAAATCCAACTTTTTGTTCTTCAGATTTTAGCTCAGCAACGATATTCACAATTTCAGAGAGAATTGTGGGAAAAAATCCAAACGATTGATAAGAGTCATATATACGATGATAAATTGTATCGGCAAGTACGATTCATGTCAATCATTGGGCCGAATGCTCTTCCACCTGATCAGTTCGATCGCGTAAGTTAAGTGGAGTTTAGAATAAGAAACACAGATTTCAGCTAGTTTTGGTCAGACATTTCGTGTTGCTTAATATCGAGCGCGGCTTTTGTATTCGCAGCCAGCCATTTCTCGCAGTTTTAGAGTGCCAAAACATTTTCTTATGGAGATTTTCGTGTTGTTTACTTACCGTTATTTGTCAACAAGTCTGCCTGTATCAACGCATTACCACTGTACATAGTGTATGTCCATAACACCAATAGACAAATTTAGAAAAAAATTAGGTCCAGAGATGTGGCTAGTATATTTTGAAAGGGCTCGGCCGCG